CATAGTAAAACCATCTTATTTCATTTCAATGCATGATATGCATGCTTAATGAAAATGCAATGCTACATATTTCACAATATACATATACTATTGAACTCACTGGTTCAAACCACATCAATTTTTTAAATTCACAGACTCCTTCAACATCAAATATAGAGTTCACATGCTCAACCATATCGCATACAGAGCTCACAGGCTGGAACCAATTTATATACGAAGCTCGCAGGCTCAAACTACATAATCACAGAATATTAATCACATATTACAGTTTTATGATATTCACATATTATCAATCAAACATAAATAACTCACAAAATAATATATTTATGCATTGTAGTTGCAAATGAATTTCTACTTACCTGAAATTTGCCAAAAACGTCAATAACCCCGACTCCTAAAGCCCTTTTCACGATTCTAGTATCGTATCTAACAACAATTAATTACAAATATTACCCCAATTTACTAAATAATTATTTCTACTCAAAACTTCATCTACTTAGTAAAAATAGCAATAATTCGTGAACACAAGAAATGCTTGAACTAGGCTTTTAACGGATTCGGCGTGATTTTTTTTTTTTTTTCTTCTTCGCGTTTGCCTTTCTCTATTCTCTTGAAATTGAATTGATATGGATGAGGTGGGGGGTGGGGATTATTACCCCACCCCACCGCCTCACTTTATTTATTTATTTATTTATTTATTATTATTATTATTATTATTTATTATTATTATTATATTTAGTTATTTAATTATTCTATTTATTTTACTTTTTTATTTAATTACTATAATAAATTTTCAAGTGATCTATATTTAATTTACACCACTAATATTCAAATAATTTATCCAATATATTTGTATCCTACTAGAATCTAAGATAAATTATGTTAATATCTTATTATTAATAAACAGGTAAAGCATATACCAAATTATAAACAAGTTAATATATAAGTAATTTACTAGCACCTAAAATGTGAAATATGTATTGGCCAATGAGTAGTGAGAACCTCGGGTATCACATCTTCCTTTTCTTATAAAAATTTCGTCCTCGAAATTTAACTTACCTGAAGAGTTCTGGGTACTTAGATCTCATTTCATCATCTCTTTCCCAAGTAGCTTCTTCTACTGACCGATTTCTTCATAGTACTTTAACTAATGAAATCTCTTTATTTCTAAGTTGTTTCACTTCTCTCATGAGAATTTCTACCGGGACTTCTTCTTAACTTAGATCTGATTTTAGCTCTGTAGGTTCACTTTTCAAAACATGTGATGGAATTGCTATGTACTTCCTTAATGCTGATACATGAAACACGTTGTGTATTTGAGACATGGATGTAGACAAATCAAGTCTGTAGGTCACTTCACCAATTCTTTTAGTAATGGAGAATGGACCCACGTATCTTGGACTAAGCTTTCCTTTCTTTCCGAACCGCATTACCCCTTTCATTGGAGAAACTTTTAGAAATACCTGATCACCCACTTCAAACTCTAGTTTTCTTCTTCTTTTATCAGCATAATTCTTTTTTCGGCTTTGAGCAACTTTCATTCTTTCCCGAATTTGCACTACAGTTTCACTCATTTCTCGAATCAAATTTGGACCCAAAAGTTTTTGTTCCCCAACTTCATCCTAATGTAATGGAGATCGACACTTTCTATCATACAGTGCTTCATATGGTGCCATTGCGATAGTAGACTGATAACTGTTATTGTAAGAAAACTCAATCAAAGGCAAGAATTTGCTCCACTGACCTTGGAAATCTAACACAAAAGCTCTAAGCATATCTTCCAGAATTTGTATCGTTCTCTCTGATTGTCTATCTGTTTGTGGATGGTACGCAGTGCTGAAAGATAACTGAGTCCCTAATGCTTTATGCAAACTCCTCCAGAAATTAGATAAAAATCTGGGGTCTTTGTCTAAAATGATAGTGAGGGGTACACCGTGAAGTCTAAAAATTTCTTGTATATATATCTAAGCATAACGATTCATAGAATATGTAGTGCAGATCGGTAGAAAATGAGCTGATTTAGTCAATCTATCAACAATTACCCAGACTGCATTATAACCCTTGACTGTCTTGGGAAACTCTGTAACAAAATCCATTGTAATATTCTCTCATTTCCACTCTGGAATAAACAAGGGTTGTAAAGTTCTTGCTGGTCTCTGATGTTCTGCTTTGATATGCTGACAAGTCAAACACTGTTGTACATATCGAGCAATGTCCCTTTTCATACCAGGCCACCAATAATACAATTTCAAATCCTTATACATTTTAGTGGCTCCTAGATGTACAGAATAAGGTGTCAAATGTGCTTCAGCCATCACATCTTCACGAATTTTATCAGTATCTGGGACATATAACCGGTTCATGTATCGGAGTACGTCATTCTCTGTCAACTGGAAATAAGAGGGTTCACCTAAAGTGATATCTTTCTTCACCTTAGCAGAGTACTCGTCATGTTGTTGTCCTGTGTGAATTCGATCTAGCAATGTCGGTCTGAGTGTTAAAGCTGCAAGTTTTGCTGTTACAAGCCCAGGTTCAATAAGTTCAATGTTCATCTTCTGTAGGTCAAGGAGTTCAGGTTTTTGAATTAAAGTCATAGCTGCCACTCTTTCTACTGATTTTCGACTCAATGCGTCTGCCACAACATTAGCTTTACCAGGATGATAGTTGATCACACAGTCATAATCTTTCACAAGTTCTAACCATCTTCGTTGTCTCATATTCAATTCTTTCTGAGTGAAGAAATAATTCAGACTTTTGTGATCGGTATAGATCTCGCAACGTTCACCGTACAAGTAATGTCTCCAGATTTTGAGTGCAAACACCACGGCTGATAACTCCAGATCATGTGTAGGGTAGTTCTTTTCATACTCTTTCAACTGTCGGGAGGCATAAGCGATCGCTTTATCGTTCTGCATCAATACACACCCGAGACCATTCTTCGAAGCATCACTGTAAACTTTAAAACCTCTAGTCCCAGTTGGGATTGCTAAGATAGAAGCTGATGTCAATCGTCATTTCAATTCTTGAAAGCTTTGTTCACATGATTTTGTCCATTTATATGTCACATTCTTCCTAGTCAATTGTGTCAAAGGAGAAGCAATTTTAAAGAAGCCTTCCACAAATCTACGGTAATATCCTGCCAGTCCGAGAAAACTACGCACTTCTGATGGATTTGTAGGTTGTGGCCAGTTATTAATGGCTTCAACTTGGGTCAACTGAAATTCCTGCTCCCGATATAACATGTCCCAAGAATACAATTCGATCTAGCCAGAATTCACATTTCTTGAACTTTGCATACAACTGTTTCTCTTTTAGAACTTCTAACACATTTCTCAGATGCATCGCATGCTCTTCTTCAGTCTTGGAATAAATCAAAATATCGTCAATAAATAAAATAACGAACTTGTCTAGAAAGTCTTTGAACACCCGATTCATCAGATCCATAAACGTTGCTGGGGCATTTGTCAGTCCAAATGGCATTACTAGAAATTCATAGTGGCCGTATCTCGTACTGAATGCTGTTTTGGGAATGTCTTATGTCTTTATCTTCAGTTGATGATACCCAGATCGCAAATTAATCTTCGAAAAGATAGTCGCACCTTGTAGCTGATCGAACAAATCATCGATTAAGGGTAAAGGATATATATTTCTGATCGTGGTTTTGTTCAATTCTCGGTAATCAATACACATCCTCAATGTGCCATCTTTCTTTCGAACAAACAAGACTGGTGCTCCCCAAGGTGAGAAACTAGGACGAATGAAACCTTTTTCTAGTAGTTCTTGCCGTTGTACTTTCAGTTCTTTCAATTCATTCGGCGCCATTTGATATGGTAATTTAGAAAGAGATGACACTCCAGGTTGTAGCTTAATCACAAATTTAATTTCGCGATCTGGTGGTAGTCCTGGAAGATCATCTGGAAATACCTTAGGATATTCTCGCACTACTGACACATCACCAACAGTAGGACACTGTTTCCCCTCGACACCCATCACACTTATCAAATAGCCTTCACAACCACTTTCCAGTAATCTTTGTGCCTTAACAGTTGATATTATAGGAAATTTGAAACGCTTCTTCATCCCGATAAAAGAAAATGGTTCTTCACCCTCACACTGAAATACAATACTCTTGTTTTAACAGTCGATTGTAGCATCATATTTCGATAACCAATCCATACCCAATATCACATCATAATCATTCATGTCCAGCACGATCAAATCAGCATATAATTCTCTACCTTCTATAGGAATAACACATCCTCACAGTATCTGATTAGTTTGTTTTGTATCACCGAAAGGAATCATCGCATCGAATTTAGCCTCAGTTAAGTTAGGTGTTCTACGCAGTTTTCTCACATACTCAGTGGATGCAAAAGAATGTGTAGCCCCAGAATCAAATAACACATAAGTCAAAGTACCGAAGATAGAAAGCTTACCGGTGACAACTGGATTTTCTTCTGCATCTTTCTTTGTCATCGTAAAAACTCGCGCTGGTACTTTCCCTTGGTCCTTTTGTGCTCTCAGACACATACTAGTCATATGTCCCCTTTGTCTGCAAGAAGAACAAGTTTTCGGTTCGTTACGATCCCAAAATGTGGTTTACCACAATTTCGACACAGAGGTCGTGGTGGTGGCGGCGGCGGTAGTGGTACTCCTCTTTGCTCCACCCTGGGACGTTTATCTGGTCCTCCTTGTTCAGGTCTCTATCCTTGTCGGGGTTGGAATGGTCCTGATGATTGAGGTTGCCATGCCCTTTTTCTATTATTTCCGCCCCACTGTGGTGCTTGCCGTTGTTGAAACTGACGTCTCATCTCTTGTGCATGTTTTATTCGGATCTCAGCTTGTTCAGCAGTTTGTGCTCTCTCTGCAACTTGTGCATAAGTCATTCCTTGAGTTCCCACCATACTCACATCTCTATAAAGCTCAGGCCTCAAACCTTCAAGGAATCTCTCCACTTTTAATGCTTCAGTACTGACCATGTGTTCCGAAAACCTAGATAACTACTCAAATTTACAGAGGTAGTCTGTAACAGTCACGTTTCCCTGTTTCAACTGTATGAATTCATTCATCTTCATGATTCTGACTAGAGCAGTGAAGTATTTATTTCTGAAAATCTCCTTAAACCTCTCCCAGGTCATTACAGCAACATCTTCGATACTTTTGACTGTGTCCCACCAGTGTCCCGCACTACCACGTAACATGAAGGAAGCACACAAAACCTTCTCTGTATCTGGAATTATGCTATATTGGAACATATTGTTTAAGGTTCTCAACCAGTCTTCAGCAGCCAAAGGATCGGTAGCATCTTCAAAGATTGGTGGATTCAGTTTACGGAATCGCTCGCACACCAACTCAATAGGCTCTATTCGCGGTTGTCGTTGATTCACATCAGTACGTAGGTTGTCCGTATTTCTTTGTTCAATAAGTTGTTGAACCTGTTGCGCCTGGCGTTCAACTAAGTCTGTCAGCCGAGCTATAACAGCATCCCGATCAACCCCAGCAATCGGTGTTGTCTGCCAGGCATTCTTTCCATACCACTACTTTCACCTTGTTCTCTCACCATATCTATTCAACAATACCACTCATCTTACACCACATGGCCAATATAATTCATAGTACATATAATGTAGGAACAAGAAATAACTTGACTCTAGCCTACTAAACATGTACCCGATTCGTTTCACATTCGTATTATTCACAGTATACCATATATAAGATAATTAAAACTGTTTTTATCCAAACTTTAAACACAGACCTAAACCCACAAGTACCATTACTACCACACATGTACTGTACCTCAATACACATGCACGATCACACATGCTCACGAGCACACACTTCTGTAGTAGCGGCTCAATGGCGGCGATCAAACAATAGCATTTTAGTAACAGTAGCATTATGTAGAAGTACGATAGTAGGAATAATTTTACCACATATCATCTTCATTAATTTTGAAACACAGAAGAGCATGTAACATGGAAACCAATCGCCATTCAATAAAATCATTTAATAACAACCAATTCATTATCAAGTAAAGTCTAAAGTCAATATAATTCATGATAAATATAAACAAAATTTAAATAAACACTTACTGGGTGTAGCCGGGCTCTCTCTCAAGTTCTGAGCTCGTGTACATAGACAATCTACAGAAAGCTAACTGTGCTCTGATACCACTCTGACACGACCCCACTTACACTATACTACTAATGCCAATTCACATATAAGTAAATGATAAACATGCTATAATCCCTCTTAATTACTTACATATATAACAACTTTTTCACCTGCTATATATATGTGTATATATATTTCAGCAAAACATAACATAACTCAACAGTAGTCTGTCAAAATTCACCAAAAGGATCTCAAACCATATCATAAACTACACAATCGACATACTATTTATAACAACACCATACAACTTCTAAAATAGACGTAATATAGAACAACGGAAGCAAAACAAGCCACGGTCCTGCCCACAGGTCGTCATCTATGTACACGGTAACTCAAAATGCCTGTAAGAGCGCCACGGCTACTCCAGTCTGACCATCAAGTCATATATCATCAGGATTACCTACAATGCATAAACTGAGTGAGATTTATAAATCTCCGTAAGTAGAAATTATGCATGATGTGAAGTTTATCTCAAAATTCTCAATATGCAGAATGTGCTCTCGTTTGAAATCATCAATTTATTTATGAAATACTCTTCAGGGCCCCTAGACACACTGCTATACACCGGAAAGAGCTCAATATCCACATATTCAAATCAAACTGTGGCCTACACCAGGTAGCCTACACCGGGTTTCCTCGTAAGGTTTCCCCGGGTCGCTTCTTCCCAGGTCGCCTCTTCCGAATGCATTGTTTAAGCATAGTATGTAAAGTCACAATAGACGGTGGCCTACACCAGGTAGCCTACACCAGGTTTCCCCAGGTCCTTTCTTCCCAGGCCGCCTCTCCCGCCCTCGGTGTATAATCAGCGTTCTAACATAGTAAAACCATCTTATTTCATTTCAATGCATGATATGCATGCTTAATGAAAATGCAATGCAACATATTTCACAATATACATATATTATTGAACTCACTGGTTCAAACCACATCAATTTTTGGAGCTCACAGACTCCTTCAACATCAAATATAAAGTTTACAGACTCAACCATATCGCATACAGAGCTCACAGGTTGGAACCAATTTATATACGGAGCTCGCATGCTCAAACCATATAATCACAGAATATTAATCACATATTACAGTTTTCTGATATTCACATATTATCAATCAAACATAAATAACTCACAAAATAATATATTTATGCATTGTAGTTGCAAATGAATTTTTACTTACCTGAAATTTGCCAAAACCGTCAGTAACCCTGACTCCTAAAGCCATTTTCACGATTCCAGTATCGTATCTAACAACAATTAAGTACAAATATTACTCAATTTACTAAATAATTATTTCTACTCAAAACTTTCTCTACTTAGTAAAAATAGCATTAATTTGTGAATACGAAAAAATACTTGAACTAGGCTTTTAACAAATTCGGTGTAATTTTTTTTTTCTTGTTCTTCGCGTTTGCCTTTCTCCCTTCTCTTGAAATTGAATTGATATGGACAGACGCGGAGATCTGTCAAGAGGAAGAAGTATGGACAGATGCGGAGGTCTGTCAAGAGGACAGTCTGTCCTTCTAAGGAGATAAGGTAAATAGAGCCGATCAGTTGCTCTGTGGTCGGGACCACAGTTGGTTGGTTTGCAGTTGGGACCGAGGTCGGTTGGTCCGTGGTCGGGACCACAGTCGGTTGTTCTGTGGTCGGGACCACAGTTGGTTGGTCTACAGTCGGGACCGAGGTCGGTTGGTCTGTGGTCGAGACCACATTTGGTTGGTCTGCAGTCAGTTGGTTCTCAGTCGGTTAAATAGGTCGGATGGTCCTAAGTCGGTTGAGCAGGTCGGGCAGTCCACAGTCGGTTGAGTCGGATGACACGGAGGTCGGCTGATATGGAGGTCGGTTAATGCAGAGTTCGGACCAAGTGAGGTCGGGCGAAGAAGAATGAGACGGACGATACGTGGTCGGACAAGAGACCAGATGGTGGTCGCTTGACGGGGCGGCCAAGGAATCGTTTGGTTTAGCGACCAGTTAGTCTCTAGATTAATCGGGTGGCACAGAGGTCGGGCGAAACGAAGTCGGGCAATAAGGGACATGGCAGTGGATGTGTAGGTCGGATGAAAGGCATTTCTGGGATGGTTCAAGTCGTGAGAGGCAGTTCTGGGGCGGTTGGAGGAAGTTGCAACCGGCGAACGGTTGAAGGAAGTTGCAACACGTGTCAACAGAGGAGAACTTGGTGGACGGTTGACAGTAGTTGCTGTAACCGACCAAATGATGGTTCAAACCGCTTCTTTAAGGGGTTATTTAAGGTTTGTTTTTTTACCTAAAAAACCATCTTTAATCGAAAAAAATTCAAGAGAACTGCTTTTGGGGATCACCACTTTATTTTCCAGTCTTTTATTTTATTTTTCCTATTTTACTTTATGTATTTCTACAGTGTTTAAAGATCCCTAATCTCAGGCACTCATCTATCAAATTCGAAGATATTTCTTTATTTTCAGATTTTACTTTTATTGTTGAAAAATAACATCAACACATAGTATTACATGAATTATTATTACTTGAATCAGACTCTTCCCTCTCATTATCAGTACTTTGAATCAATAATAATACCATTTTATGTTTTAAATCTGTATATTGAAAATTTTCATTGATTTTCTTTTTTAGATTACATTTGTTTGCTTTGTAACTTAATTTTCCACATTTTCCGCATGTTATATTGTTACTACTATTTCATTTATAATTATTTGAATAAGTTTTAAGTTTCCTATTTTCATATTTCTTGTAATGACGTTTGTACTTTTTAGTGTAAGGAATTTGATGCGAAGGGCCTTTGATTCATGTTATAGCGAAGGTTTGACAAAATGAACCCACCTCTCTATGCTCAGATGCATATGTAGCTTGTATTTTTAATTATGTACATAAAGCTAATCCTTTTTTTTTTAATGAGGTAATACTTTACCAAATTTTTTTTATTCATAATTAATCATTTCAGTTTATAATTATTTTTAAAGATTATTCGTAATACGTTGTGAAATTAAAGTTGGTAATCCGATTATGAATTTTTCTTTCCAAAATGAAATATTGCAATCAAGTCTTCTTAATACATATGTTAAAATATATATTTATATCATCGAAAATATGATAATGTTGGACATTTTAAATTTGTTAAAAATACTCCCTCCATTCCAAAATAATAGTCTCATTTTGCAATTTTCTTATGTCCTAAAACAATAGTCTTATTTTTATTTTTGGTAACTACCTCTCCATCTTTTTACAAAACTATCCCCATTTTTTCACAATAATTAAAGTAGGGGTATTTTAGTCTTTTAAAATACTTTTACACCTACTATTAATATAATAGTATTATTTTTCAATTGTTCATCCCAAATGTTCCTATTGTTTTGGGACGGAATGAGTATTTTTTATGAATATAATTCTTGAGTTGGATTTTTTACAAAATACATAGTAACTATTAAGCACTCAGTTGAATTAGGTTTGGATGATATAGGAATTTTTATTGCACGACTCGAGGGCTGTCAATTTTTGGCACTGTTTCTGGAGATTAGTGTTTATTTTTGCTTCATTTTTACTTGTTATTAGTTACTAGCATCAATTCCAAACATTTGTTGTGTTTTCTGCCTCGTTTCTCTTGCACATGTATCTTGATATTTGATCATGAAATTGAGAGAATTGTGAAATGATTGCTGCAACAAACTAGAGATCAAAGTTGATTTGAGCACTAATTTGAGTGATTTCAAATAAAGTGAAGAATTTGATATGACCGATATAAATCGTACATTAACGAAGTTAGTTGTCCCTAATGTAAATCATCATCCTTTATGCATTACTCTTCCTCATGTTAATGATGATGCCCCCATTTGAATTAAAATATTGACTAATACATCTTATGTCTTTATTCTAAGATTTGTCAAAAGAAAAGCTTTATAAGCACTTGTTGGATTTCAAAGTTATTTCCTCTAGCATGAAGCCTCTGAGAGCAACCGAGGATCAAGTCAAGTTGAGAGATTTTCGTTTTTCACCAAAGGATGGAGCAAAAGATTGGTTGTATTCACTATCCTCTGGGAGCATCACTACTTGGATAGTAATGAAGATGAAATTTTTGGAAAAATATTTCCCCACTTCTCGAGTTGCAAATTTGAACAAGAAGATTTTTGGAATCAAACAACAACATGGAGAATCCCTATACAAGTATTGGGAAAAATTCAATGGGTTTTACTTTAGATGTTCACACCATCAAATTCCCGATAAGATCTTGATTCAATATTTTTTGAAGGGTTAAATTTAATAGAAATGAACATCATTGATGCATCGAGTAAAGGAGACTTGATGAATAAAACTCCAAGAGAGACACGACATTTGATCAAAATGATGGCTGTAAATACCAAGAATTTTGGCATCCGTATTGCAGCGCCCGTAAATGGAATCGAAGATGTGAGTAGTGAAAGAATAAAACTAGTCAAAAAACAAATATCCGAGTTGACGTCATTTGTTCGGAAATTAGCCATGGGGAATTTTCGATAAAATCATTCATGTAGTATATGTTTGAGTTCGGAGCACCCTATTAATACATGCCCTACACTTCACCAAGGAGGTCCTATAGAAGTCAATGCAGACGGATATTTAGTGTCATGTCGACCTTACAATCCATATTTGAATGCATATAATTCAGGTTGGCGTGATCATCCTAATATGAACTGTGCAAACAAGCAACCTTTTTAGCTAATCAACAAGGATTCCAAGCACATGCGCCTCAACAATTTTGACCTTCACTTCCACCACTGAATCAAGGTACGTCTTTGAAAGATATGATTAAAAGCATGGCATCTAATACTTTTTAACTTCAATAGGATACTCTACAATTCTAGAAAGATACAAAGAGTAGCATTCAGAACTTAGAAAATCAAATAAGTTAATTAAGTTGTGTTCTTTTGTGGATTTTACCACAGGTTTTTACTATTCAGATTTTTTTTCCTCCAAAAATATCACATCAAACAATTTTTTTTTATACTATAATAAAAAATTATTTTATATTCAAAACATCACATCAACATTTATTTATATCACATCAAACAACTATTCAAATTCAATTTTTTACTATTTAAAAATTCAAACCTAAAAACTAAAACCCACAAAAAACACACCCTTATAAAGTGAAGTTCATAAATTAAAAACGAAAGAAAAAGGAAAGTGGCTAACACAACCCAAGATGAATTTGAAGAATGCGAGTGTCTTGGAATTGAGGAGTGAAAAAATATTGGAAGATCCTAAACCCATCATTCCAAATGAGAAAAATCAAGACAATAAAGGAAAAAAATAAGGTAAATGTTGAAATTTTTTATTTTTCAAATATTAAAAATTTTTATTTTCCTCATAGGTTGGCAAAGCCGAAAAAGGATCAGAATAAAAAAAGGAAAGAGATTATGAAAGTTTTCAAGAAGGTCAAATTGAATATCACCTTGTGGGAAGCAATCAAGCAAGCGCCCTGATATACCAAATTTTTGAAGGATTTTTGCATCAATAGAAGGAGGTTAAGAGGAGATGAACACATTGTGGCTGGAAAAAACATTTTGACAATTTTACACAGGAAAATTCCACCAAAATACAACAATCCAGGTATGTTTGCTATCATTTGAAAAATAGGTCAATCTAAAATTAAAAAGGGCATGCTAGACTTAGCTGCCGCAATAAATATTATGTCGAAGTCGATGTAATGACTCTATGAATTCAGGGTTGTTCAAAGAGATGTGAATTATAATTCAATTAGCGGATTAAAAGGAATACCTTTTCAGAGAGATTGAAAGAGGATACTCTAGTTCAAGTTAATGAATTAATATTTATAGTCAATTTTTATGTGCTAGATATGAATGATGAGAAATGCATTAATCATTTCCCTCTCTCTTGTTGGGGTGAACATTCTTGAGCACCACTCAAATAAAAATGTGTGACAAGGTACATTAACAATGAATTTTCTTGGCAATAAGATTCATTTTAATATATTTGATAATGTGCACATTGATTCTAACACTATTTGTGCGATCAGTGTTCTTGAGCCTTTAATGCAAGATTTTTTAAAGCTAAATGGTAAAAAATTCTTAAAATTAGATCGAAGCCACCAAATTTATTGGATCATAACCATTCGAGGGATGATAAAAGGTTTTAAAAAAATATTTTCCATCAGTAAACATTGACTCAAGAAACGTAGAAAGAATTTTAAATGGAGGTGAAAAAGACAATTTGTTATGCCACCAAACGACTAAGAAC